AGAAGTTGGCAGAATTATACGTGAGGGAGGTGGTATCACGACATGGGGTTCCGATGTCGATTGTTTCAGATCAGGATGTGCGTTTTACTTCCAGGTTTTGGAAGAAGTTTCATGAGGAGTTGGGTACGAAACTACATTTCAGTACCACATACCACCCGCAGACAGACGGACAGAGCGAGTGAACGATCATTCGAGCATTTGTATGCCACCCTTTGAGCTGTTGTATGGTCGGAGGTGTCGCACCCCCATCTACTGGGGTGAGGTGGGGCAGCGGGTGATGGGTAGCACGTAGATTGTACTCCAGATTCAGTGGGTAAGGCAGAGGTTGTTGACCGCGCAGAGTCGCCAGAAGAGTTACGCGGACAGGCGACGGTCCGAGCTCGAGTTTCAGGTTGGTGACCTTGTGCTCCTAAAGGTCTCTCTTTGGAAATAAGTGATACGATTTAGGAAGAGGCGCAAGTTGGGACCCCGGTACATTGGACCCTTCAAGGTAATTGCTAGGGTAGGCCGGGTAGCCTACCGGTTGGATCTACCTGCTGAGTTGGGGCAGATCCATGATACCTTTCATGTCTCGCAGTCGATGAAATGTATTGCCGATGAGTCGGCAATGGTGCCATTAGATGATATTCAGGTGGATGTAGGCCTGAACTATGTGGAGAGACTAGTAGCGATCAGGGATCGGAAAGTTCAGGTTCTGAGGAACAAGGAAGTACCCCTGGTACAAGTGCAATGGCAACATCGGAAGGGGTTCGAGATGACATGGGAGTTCGATTCTGAGATGCGGGATCAGTATACAGAGTTGTTTTCAGTATGAGACTTCGGGGGCGAAGTCTGTTTCTAGTGGGGGAGAATTGTAACAGCCCGAAATCCAAGTATTCTTCTATTTTGGATTAAATTGTTAATTTAGGGTTTTCATGGTAGGCGAGTACGCTGGGCGTACAAGGTGTACGCTGCGTGTACTCGCGCGCCTCATTAGGACGCCTTCCCCCTCAGGTACGCCGGCCATACCCAAGGATACGCACGGCGTAATTTGCCCAGAACTAAAAACCCTAATCTCTTTGAAGGGCTATAAAAGGAATGTGTGGCTGGACTTCTCAGCCACCATCCCTCAGAGTGAAACCCTAAATAGTGTGTGCCTTCGTTCTTAAGCCTTGTGTGTGTATTCTAAGCTTGGTGGTGCCATTCCAAGGTTGCAAAGGAGAAGAAGAGCTCATTGGCAAGGCTAGAAGTGGTGCTCAAGTGTAGATCTAAGCTTTGCAAGGGTTAAAGCTTCATTATCAGGTAAAAAGTTCGGATCATGTCACTTGGTTCATGTTGCATGCTTAAAGTATCATTTCTAGGGTTTAAGTCCCTAAGGTGGAGACTTTTTGTGCAAATGGCCTACATAAGCTTAGATACTTCATATTTCTGATCTATTGGAGTAGTAGACTCATAAAAATGGCATCTTGGATGTGGGTATTGGACCATGCATGAGATCTAGGCCCTTGAGATGGAAAAGAATGTTGTTATGTGATGTTGGAGCCTTTACAGCCATGCCAAGGCTTAAAGGTCGCGACTTTATGGGTTTAGACACACTAAAGGAGTCGGATCTAGAAGTTGGAGTAATGGCTTAACCGATTAAGACCAGAAATGAAGAGTGGCTGATTCTGATGGTTACGCTGGGCGAACTTCCAGTACGCGCAGCGTACTGGGTGGAAACCCCGATCCAGGGGATTGGCGATGTACGCCCCGCGTACATCTAGCAGTACGCCAAGCGTACTCTCAGGGTTGACTTTTGTTGACTTTTAGGGTTTTGGTCAACATGAGGACTTTAGGACAAGGATGGGTAAAATGGTCTTTTACCCTCTGAGGAATGATGATAAGGGGTAAAGTTTTAGTAGTTGAAGTCTTTGTGTATTAAATGATATTTTTATGTTTAGGCGAGGTAGAGTCATCGTTGGGATTCAGTGATAGTAAGGACGCGAGATCTTAGACTTTCCACGATGTGAGTTTTCTCACTATACTGTACCCGGAAGGGTTTGACTGTGTGACCAGAAAGTCGTATATGTTATGAGATGTATGTATTATGTGTGAGAAGTTATTCGTTATATGGGCCATGTATGATATGCTTGATATGGGCCGGAAGGCATTATGTTATGGGCCGGAAGGCGAATATGTTATGGGCCGGAGGGCGTTGTGATGTCCATAAGGTTGACGTGGGTAGGACCGGAAGGTTTACCTAGTCGGGACGGAAGTCCCCTGAGACACATGGACCGGAAGTCAGCGCCTGGAAAGGCGTATGTGCGTAAGTTGTATTTTGGGGAACTCACTAAGCATTTATGCTTACAGTTGTTGTGTGATGTGTTTTAGGTACTAGCGATGACCGTGGGAAGGCGCTGGCGTGATCGTACACATTGTCGGGGAAAAACTATTTTATGATGTTTGGGATGTATTTAGTTGTGACAATATTGTTTACTTTTGAATTTGAAATGTTAATCGATGTTTTGATGTTTACAAACATGAAAAAATTGGTTTCAAAATTTACATCGTTACAGAAATCGGGAAACAAAATTTTGATAGTGAGACTGATTATAATCCATGTCTCATGTCCATACAATATCTTGTAGAATGGAGGAATATTTGATCCCTTATCTAAGGACACGTAACTGACTAGGTCGGTGTTCGACACCGGTTTTTGAAAGCTACAATTCATGGTCAAATTTTAAGGTAATACTTTCAATTATAGTTATTAGACTTATCCAAGTGGGAGATTGTTAGATTAGGTGTCTAAGTCCATAACTATAATTGGTATGTACTTGATTTGATAGTAGCATGGCCCTTTTCGGTTGCCTTCACCCTAGCAACTTGATAGGATTACTTTTGGAGAGACCGGGTTGAATTTATTATTTGGAATAAAAAAATTTATTTATTAATGTATTATAAAAAATAATATATTAATTAGAAGTCATGTTATTTAATTAGTATTTAATCATAAATTAATTTGGAATTAATTATGAGATTAAAGGAACTGATTAAAGAAACATTGGTTGTTTTGCAAATCCTTGATAGTTGTAAAACTGTGCCATCAAATTCCTTAGATGGGAGTGGACGAAAACTATCGGGAGGCCCTATAGGTTTCTCTAAGGCCTCTAGATGAGGAGTCCATGGGTTTCTTAAGCCTTTAGCAGGAAACTAGGGTTTTCTCCAGAAAACCCTAGCAGCCCACATCTATATAAAGACCCCACCACCTACGATTTTCAGCAAATTCTGACATTTGTAAACCCTAGCCGATTTTCTAAGAGCATACCTCCTCTCTCCTCTCATCCTATTTCTAGTGGTGTTTGTAAGCCATTAGAGGTGTCACATTTGAGGCACTAAGCTTTCAAGAATCAAGGATCTACAAGCTTTCTTGTTATTGCTACATAACAAGTGAGGTAAGCTTCTAAACCCTAATTATACATAGCTTTCGATTATATATGCTAGATCTAGGGTTTTTCTTTGGTATTCAATTTGCATGTTCAACTAGTGAAAAACTTAGAGCTAAAGCAATTAGGGTTGCATGAACACATAGGTTGTAGTTATTCCTAAAACCCATCAGTTTGGGAGAGTGGCTCTATATTTGAGCCCAAATGTCCATGAAAGATCGTGAATGAATAATGTAGATTTGCGTACGTGAGTGGCTTCTGAGAACCCTGTCTGATATAATGGCGACTTATGTCAAAATATTTAAGAAGGAGATGATCATGGTGATCGACAGAAGGATTACAACCTTCTATAGGGCTGAGAAAATGTAATTTATCAAAATGTCAAAGCACAATTTTCATTTTTAATTATTTTAAAATATCTATCTTACTAAGAATTACATCTTTTTATTACATGATTAATTATAAAGAGCATCTTAGCGAAAATCTATAAAACTTTACTCATGTCTCAATGCAGATACAATCATGCATAAGCCTTTCCATAATCAGATGAACAACATGCAACGCATTTATTCGACAACTGTAAGCCGAACCTTAGAGATATCCCTCAAAATATTCCACACGACAGCACATATACAATGCATACACAGACTGGACTTTAGCTTATAGTCGGTTCGTCGCTAGACCTTAAGCATACAGCTTGTCCGTCGTATATAGTCTTGAATACGTGGCCACTCCACTCTCTACTCGCCTTTAGCATAATGTAAGTCCACCCGAGTCTATTGGCTTTCAGCTCAAGGCAGGGCCGTTCTAAACTCTCTTTCTCTCTCTCTCTCTCTCTCTCTATATATATATATATATATATATATATATATATATATATATATATATATATATAAAACACACTAGTGGTGGACCCGCACGTTGCAGCGGCGGATAATAGTTTCTTTCGGCAGATAGTATCAAATTGGCGGTAGACTTTTGGTTTATCAGTTCTTTTGGTTTTTGTCTGGTTCGGGTCGGTTCTTCTTTGAGTACTGAACACATCTAATATATAATCTGAGTTCTAGTTGAATAAAACCGGAACCGGTTAGTTATATTCGGTTTTGTTCTAGGTTTCTCATTCCTTTTATTTGTTTTCGGTTATATCAGTTTTGATCCGTTTTTTGAACTGATTACATGTGTAGTACAAAGAACATGTAATGGATTGATAAATATTAATTTTTATGAATATATATATATATATATATATATATATATATATATATATATATATATATATATATATATATATATATAATATATATATATATCCAACATTGTTGTTTTGACTTAAGACTTAGTTATTCATACGTTTCTAATGTTTACCAGTCAATATATTAAAGTGAAAATTTCATACTTGACGTCATACTATTATCAACAATTTTAGATATAATTAATAAATAAAAATCTTGAACATTTTCGGATATATCGCAATAAATTGTTAAAAGTGGCCTCCATAAATGTTAATAAAGTTGTTCTTTTCGAAAACAAAATTTAATTTAAATGAAAAAATCAGTTTACCACATCTAGTTAATTTAAATTGTTAAAAGTAGCCTCCATAAATGTTAACCAGGTGGGGAACCCCCGCGTTGCGGGGGTCGGATGCGATAGGTTTTTCAGCAAAATTGAAATATGAACAAAATAACTTTACATTTTAAGAATGACTTTTAAAAAAAATTAAATTCCTATTTTTTACATATTCATTTTCACTATAGGATGTAAAAACTTTTTTTTTTTATATATATATTTGTTTAAAAAAACAAAAATTGCACCTTAAGGAAGTGAACTTTCCATTATTGGTGGACTTTGTGTAGATGATGTCTTAAAACTGCTATTTAATACGCCTTTTAACACCTGATACAAATAACCCAAAAAAAGCGACATAAGAATAAATATGGTGCCATAATTTACATAAAAGTAAACATTTCATTAAAATCTCCCCAAATCTCATAGCTACTCGTTTTACTCAAATGCCCCCAAATCTCATTGCTACACGTTTTACTCAATTTTATTTTGGTTCCAAAAATAGTTTGGAAGGAATTGGAATTTGTAGGGTTTGGTTTGGCATATGAAGGAATTGGAATATTTTCATGCATTTGGTTGGCAAGCGAAAACAGGTGTTCGGTGAAAAGGGCATTTGAGTAAATCTAATGTTTAAATTCAAAGGCCAAAGGATTTTTTTGGATTCCAATGTAATTTAATTCCATACGTAAGATTGGAGTGGAATTGAATGCATGGAATCTTAGTCTTCTCTATGCCATATTTCTTCAAAACACTTAAAAATCCTTGGATACTTCTTCATTCTATGCAAGCTAACAAAAAAAAAGGAATTATTTTTACTTATTATTCTTCACACTTTTAGGTTAACGGATCAATAAATCAAAAGTGAATCCTGAGGTTATGTACCAAGCTGGTATTTTTTTGCTGTCACTTTCTAGAGCTTGCTAGCTGGCCAAGACCAGAGGAACTTCATTTCCAAAAGCAATACCTATTATATGTGTTTTGGACTTCCTCCCTGCAAAAGATTAAGTTACATATATAGGGCAAAAGGATCCTTACTCCCATGTGGTTTTAGTTTTGACCTGCTTTTCCAACACAAAATATCCCAATCTTCTGAAAACTCAAAAATGGGAAAAAATGAAGTGAAAATGGTAATTCTGTCCAAATCCTAGAAAAACTAAAAAACTCAAAAATGGTCAACTAAGGTGGTCAAGCTGTACCTAAATAACAAAAAATAACAATTATAAAAAATAAAAATATTTTCATTTATTTATGTCATACTTTCATTCCTTTGAAAAATCTACTATAGCAATTGTATCAATTTTTACTTCTGTAAATAGGTAGATTCGTTATTTGTCTACAAATATGATGATATCATCAAGTATGTTGCTATTTCTTACCCTCCTAATAAACCAAAATACGTTACTTGAAAGTATTATGTTATTTGAGACTGAAACTTTGTCAAATGTCTATAATCATATGTTGTGATTTTTTACTGGAACTTCATCAAATCACCACAATACCCTAGGTCATATTTTGTGATTTTAAACTAAACCTGTGTCAAGGTACTAAAATGCGCCTTGGTCATATTTTGTAGTGAAACTTCCAAAAAAACAAAGAAAAAATGTTTCATACCTTCTTCCCATTCTCGTTTCAGGGCATATTTTTAACAAATAAAACATATCCAGCTCAATAACGATTGTCAACAAACCTGAAAAAAAAAAATTGAAACAATATTTAGTACCTTCAAAAGAATCCAAATTGTAAACAACCAATGTGGTGGAAAACAAAACCCAAAAGGGAGAAATCATTTCTCTGTGGCTATCTATTCTAAATTAAGCATACAAAAGAAGTCCTCAAACAATTCATTTGAGAAGGATAAAGTGCTTTTTCCAATCAGGAAGCAAGGTTTGTGTTATTTATGTCCAATAATGTTGGTTTAGTTCATCAAATCACCACAATACCCCGGTCATATTTTGTGATTTTAGACTATAACTATGTCAAAGTAGTAAAATGCCCTTACTTATATTTTCTTATTTCAAACTAAAACTTTGCCGAATTACTACAATGGCCTAGTCATATTTTGTAGTGAAACGTCAAAAAAAAAAAAAAAAAAAAAAAAAAAAAAAAAAGAAAAATGTTTCATACCTTCTTATCATTCTCGGTTGAGGGCATATTTTTAACAAATAAAATATATCCAACTCAATAACGAACCACAATAGCAACAAACCTGGAAATAAAAGTTGAAACAATAATCCAAATTGTAAACAAGCAACGTGCAGAAAAACAAAACCCAAAAGGGAGAAACAATTACTTCCATTTATTTGTCACTTTTATATCTTCTTATAAAATCATTGAAGAAGTACATTGTCTAAATAAGGAAAAAAATTGAGTAGATTATGCAATTTTTTTAGAATATAAAGAACATTGTTAACTGGTTTTTATGCTAGTGATTGAAGCAATGTTGCTTTTCTTATGATTTCAAAAGTAACAGGGGCATCTCTGGAATTTTGATAATAAAAAGGAATTCATAGAATTACTTTTGGCAGTTCAAATCTGTATAGTTTGTTTGTTATTTTTTTGAGGTATTAATTTATTTTTCTGCAACTGCTCAATATTGAAGAGGTTTAATAGCATCGTTTAAATACCAATAAAACCGATTTGGGTTTTTGTTGTGGTCGGTATGGTGTCACCTATCCTTGCATCTGATACTAACTTATTGAACCTGATATGTATTATGTATTGAAAGTTAATTAAGCATTTTCCGTATCAAAGATTATGTACTAACATCATAAAAGCTCAATATCTTGCCTGAAATATAAAATGCCTACCAAAAAGGTTAAAAAGGGACACAAAATAGCAACAATTGTGATGAAACAAATGATGTAAAACCTGTAGAACCAAGTTCCTATCCAAGTTTTTTACACTTTATGGGGTTTTGATCAAGTGTTTCTTCAACTTGGGACTCATATTCTTCTACTTGACCTATAATAAGCAAGAACCACAACTGAAAATAAATAAAATAACCAAAGTAAATGCAAAGAAAAAGAACATTATACTTGTATAAAAATATGGTTTATGAATGTGTAAAATCCCCAGCCGATCATCTGATGTAGGAGGAGAAGTTGAGGTTAGTAGCCATACAAATGGGTTTGCATTTTTATCTATTGAGTATAAAGGAGATGCAGTGGCCAAAGTTTACTCAGCTGCCCCGAAATTATGGTGTCATTTGTTGCAGGTATAAAGGAAGAGTTAGGATTTAGGAACCTCTTGTTCTCCCTGAGAAGAAAAAAAAATCAAAAGAAAATAAAGATGAAGAGTAAATTGATAAAATATAAAGCAATCATCCCATATTTCTAAAGTAACAATCGACGATAACGACAGAAGCAAAACCGAATACCTACTATCTCATGTCGATTTCTTTTAGTTTAGTAATCTTGTTAAACACCGATCGAGGGTAAGTAAACAGTGTTTGATGATTAAAAGAAGGAGATGAATGAAACCAAGAAAAAATCACTTATGGGGAACATATTTCTATACCTAATCCTAAAGTTAGTGAAGCAAAGTTTCTTTGAATCGCCATCACCATATCCTTCGTTATGTTTGAATCGCCCCCGAGCGGTGGAGCCACCTGACCCTCCGCCTTGCTTACCTACAATTTACAGAAAACAATAAAGAAGACACGGATAAACGAAGAGAATAATAGAAAATCGAAAACTAACCTTGATAAAATTGAAGCAATTGAGGTGTGATTTCAAGAGATCATATGCCAACAATCGGTTTAGGACGTTATAGAAGAAACATAATACGCGAAATCGAGGTTTGTGCATGCTATATGAAAGCGATAAATGTGTTAGGTGTAGTTGTCGCTGCTACCGCTGACGAACTCCATCTACCGTCGCCGCTGCTTCAACCATCGCAGGTAACAATCGTCGCCCTCCCCTCGTTGACTTCCCAGTGATTGATCAGCCAAAACCAAGAGACCTATCAGTGGGTGACGGTGGAGGTCAGAATGGAAGCAGGGAATACACACCTGTGCCACCAAATCCATGGCAGCCATTGAAGGTACCGTAGTAGAAGGGGCAAAATCGATCGGTGGGGTGGGGGTGGTTTTAGGGCTTCTAGACGATTTTGATGGGAGAATAAAAGGTTGGATAAGAACAATGAAACTGAAGGACCGATATTTCCTAAGAAGTGCTCCCCTTTAATGTATATATATATATATATATATATATATATATATATATATATATATATATATATATAAAAGAATATGTTGCCGGGTTTAATAAAAATTCAGAGTTATCCAAAATATTTACTTAATGTTGCTAAATATAAAAATTCACAAACTCCTAATGTCAAAAATAGAGGCAGTCGAATTACATACCAAACAACAATAATAAATTTACGAAATTTACCTACTTTACAAATTAAAGGTAAAAGCAGCAAACAATAGTAAATATTAATTTAAAACTTTTATTATTTAAACAGCAGAACATTTTAAAAAATAATGGGCATTAAAAAAGGTAAAAGCAGGAAACCATTGAAATATTTACAAACAATACACATGTAAATTATGAACCCTCCTAGTTTGTCTTTGAGTAGTAATACCAAGCCAAGGTCAAAACAAAATACCCATTTTCTGTGTAATATTTTTCTGTACCAACACAGCTAACAAAAGAAAAAAAAAAAACGATTATTCAACATCACTAAAAAGAGATCAGTGTTAACTGCAACTAATAGTAACAAACTTTCATGGATTTTTTTATCATTAACATTCTTCTTGAATTATTCTTAATAGCACATGGTACCGTAAAAAACCATCCAATTAGAAAAATTGCATAAAAATACAAAACAACATTCGCTATTACATAAAAAAAAACAGTGAAAACACGATATTATTAATAGGTAAATCTTACAAAGGACAGAACCTTACTAAAAGTTTGTAAAACTAAGTGCTATAAAAAACTAATTAAACACACTAATGAAACTTTACCTGAATCAAAACATCATCAATTCCGCAGAAATTGCACAAACACCTTTATTAATATTTCAGTAATGGAAACAATGAAAGAGGAGTTGGGCAGGGAGGTAACACCGACCGAAAAAGACCGGAGATGGGAAGCAATTCCCTAGCTCACGAACTATGCCTCTTCAATATGATTCGCTCAAAAGTGTAATCTCACACCCAAAATAGGTTATAGCCAATCAAGGCCATGTATTCCACCCCATAAAATACAAGCATAAATAAAACTCAAACCTATGAGAACTCAAATACAAAAATATATGTATACGTGAACATGTTGATTTTAAAAGCCAAAAAAAGAAAATTCAAACCTATTAGAACTCGAAGACCTGTACAAAACACCGATGAGTAAAAAAAAAACATGTTAGAACTCGAACATCTTGAAACACAAATGAATAGATAAATAATTGGATTAAACCAGTTAGAAGTTAAAAACACCAAATATCATTTCCATATTTTTTTATGTGTTGATATTTAAAGCCAAGCCATAGAGAAGTTGCGATTTGTAGACCTGGAGAGAACCAAATGGTAGAGGAGGAGTATTTCGCTTCCCTAAGTGTTGATTACTTATTCATATTTATACTGTAGGTCATTACCATAGTTCCCATGTAGATCTGCCTACAAAAAAAATCTGTTTTCAAATACATGAAATAAAAAACCCCCAAAATAGGGTGTCGAATATGAGGGATTTGTGGAGGTAAATCGCTGTTGTTGTGGTTTTGGTTTCATGATCAAGGGAGACAGAGAGAGATGGTGATATTTGTTGAATGATGATATGATCTGGTAGGTATCTAGGGTGTTCTTCAAATACGACAGCAGAGTTTACGTTTGTGAATGATGGTTCAGAATGGTTGAAGGCAAACGAAGAGGATGGTGTGTGTATCTTACAGTTTGAGAGACGATGGTGGGGGACCGATGGAGAAGACGATTCTTGTAATTTCTCTCTTGAATGGAAGAATAAAAGGATGAGATTGGAGAAAAGTAGGTCTGAACCATCAAATGCTAAGGAGAATGGGGAGCTTTTCATTGATTCAAATTTTGAAATGGATTACGATGTGAGACTGTGTTTGCAGGGAAAAGCAGGTCTGAACCATTAAAGGAAAGACGGTTGATTGTATTATCCGATCAATGGCTTGTAGTCATGGACAAAAACAATGTCTCAATCCATGTCATTGTACTGGCCTTCAAAGAGTGTTCTATAGTCAAGCATTTATATGTTGTACCTTTTTCATAATATTTTGTACCTATTACTTTTAAGATGTTGTGTTTAATAAGTTGTACATCAAGCTTCTAATGTTGTATTTAAGACTTATATATATATATATATATATATATATATATATATATATATATATATATATATATATATAGGGAAAAGAGAATATACATTACATCCCCACTTAAGCTTAGGTACTAAACCTCTTGAAAATAAATTGTTTTACTATATAAAGATTACGGTTAATGGATTCATGATTAATATTTCAAGATGTAAATTCAAGATCGACACATTAAGGTTTAGGGTTTAGGGTTTAGGGTTTAGGTCTAGGCTTTAGGGTTTAGGGTTTAGGATTTAGGGTTTAGGTTTAGGTTTAGGTTTAGGTTTAGGTTTAGGGTTTTGGTTTAGGGTTTAGGGGTTAGGGTTTAGGGTTTAGATTTTAGGTTTATGTTTAGGGTTTAAGGTTTAAATTTAGGGTTTAGGGTTTAGGTTTAGGTTTTAGTAATGTTCACTTGGGTGAAGTAATAAACGATAATTGAAGAATGAAAATAGAGATGATAAAACGATAATGAAAGAAAGAAATATTATGGAGGATGATATATTTACCAAGTAAAACCAAACCGTGTATATTTAGCATGACAAAAATGACATATTTTAGAGGTTTACTACCTAAGCTTAGGTGAGGCTCTAATGTATATTCCCTATCCCCATATATATATATATATATATATATATATATATATATATATATATATATATATATATATATATATATATAATTGGATTAGGTGTCAAAGCTCATAACTATTTCGGAATGTACTTGACCCGATTATGAGCATGGTCCTTTTGGGTTGCCTTCATCATAGCAATTGATAGGATGAATTGACAAGAAAGAGGATTAGTTATGATTTATTAAGAATAATATATTAAAAGAGAAATCATATTGTTTAATTAATATTAGTAAAGAATTAATTAAGAAGTAATTTTGTGGCTAAAAAAGATTAAATAAATTAAGAGGACTGATATTGCAATTATATAATAGTTGCAAATTGGGCTGTGGATTCCTAATGGAAAGGGCATTGGATGAAATCTATGGGAAGCCCATATGAGTATCATCCAAAGGTTTTCTAGAGAGACTCCATGGGTTGCTTAAGGCCTAAGCAGAGAATTAGGGTTTCACCTGAAACCCTAGTAGCCCACATAAGTATAAAAAGACCCCTAGGGCTCCCAAAAACGTGGCTAAGCTTTCTCTAGAAGATCTTGGACGTTTTTGGTGCTCCTCCTCCCTCTCCTAAGTCATCTTGTTGCTAGTGTTGTTTGCGATTCCATTAGAGGTGCAACATTTGAGGCATTAGGCTTTCAAGAGTCAAGATCAAGAAGGTTTGTGATTGTTATTGCTACATAAAATCAAATGTAAGATCTAAACCTTATTCATATGTGTTAATTCGATTGTTGTAGTCTAGATCTAGGGTTTATGAGCTTTGGATTATTATCACATGTTCATTAGACAAACTAGATCCAAAGTTATAGGGTTTGCATACACACTATAGGATTGATGTTCTACTCAAAACCCATCAGTGGTATCAAAGCCTAGGCTGTTTCTTTAATGTATTTGATGCTTGACATGACCGTTCAAGCAGATTATCGCGAAAAACTGAATTCTAGAGGTTGGACTCACCGAGTCCACTGGTGAACTCGCCGAGTTCATGCCTACTCGACAAGTTCAGTGCTGACTCGACGAGTCAGAGGGTCTGCTAGAGGGTTTTTTGGGATTTTGACCTATTTTTTCTTTCGATAATTACAAAAAATGGTATTGATTGATAAAATCTGAATTTTATTGATATTGTGTGATTGTCCTTACAAAATAGAAGATAATTGTCATTTAATTGGATAATCATTGCCTTATATGATAAACTTGATTTATTTGAGTTATTTGATTTGAATTATCTTGCAAAAAATTGAATTATGTCAAATTTGGATAATCACCAATTATTTGATTAATTGAATTATTTGTAATTTGATCTAGTATGTTTTGAAAAGTTTCAAAACTTGCCCTCAAGTTTTGGAGTTTAAATTTTTGATTAAAAGATTAATTTTGAAATTTTAAATTCTAAAACCCTAGTTTTTGAATAGTTCAAATTACACTCTTATGATTTTATTAAGTTAATTAAATGTATAATTAAAAGGGAGTTAATAAATCCATAATGATATGGTTTATATTTACTTAAATTAAAAGGTATAATTTATTAAATTAGACCACCTAGTATTTTAAAAGTGTAAAATTCACCCTTCTACTATATATAAAATTAAAAGTCTAATATTATATATGTATGAATAAAGAGTCGGTCTTACCGTTAGTAGGCCTCATTCACGAAGGTGGTCCCAAGGGGTGTTTAAGGAAATTGCTTATAAAATGGCAATTAAATGGGTATCCATTCCTACCCACCGCAGTCTTGATCAGTGGAGGGTCATTAGACGAACGGGTAGGATGGGACACAACCTTCCATTATAAGTATAGTGAAATATGAAGTAACTAAACACTTTTACAAATTCCCAAATCTTAGTTACTTTAGGAAAAATGTGGAGTTGGTGCTAATCCATGAAATTGAACATTGCACCTCGTTGGTCGTTAGTTGAGCGTGTGTGGTTAACTGGCACACTAATATGGGACCAATAAAGGATGTCAATGGATAACTTGATGTTTACCATAGATCAATGGATTGAGTATGTTTAACTAACACATTGATTAGGTGATTTGTAACATCGAGAGTACCAAGCTAATTTGCATGGTTATCCACACCTTGTTTGTGATCCTCAACATCCTAGTCACAAACTTGAAGGGCACAATCGAGATTAAACATGCCATTGAAAAGTTTAGTGAATCTTTAAAGATCTAGGAGTTTCAGTTCATTTAAAACTTAAATTTCTTCTTCGTTTTTCCTGGTGGAAATTGGTAAATCATCATTTATCTACCTTCAAATATTCTGCAATTTGGATTATGGCATCCCTCTTCTACATTGTAGGATATTGTGTTGGGTCCTAGCCTTGATATTTAATTTGGGTGTTATATTAAGGATTCCAATCAACTAACTTGAATTTCTCCCATTTTGTAGATGTCAAAATCTATAAATATGATCTTTCCGAATCCTTTCGAAAATGTTTTCCACATGAAAATGATGTTCCACGAATTGATTGTGGAAATGGAAATCATGCTTCACTACCTCCACATCCTCTAATAATTCTCCTTAACCCATGTGTTCGGAGACTTGAAGAGTCCAAGGTCACTCAATCTCTATTGGCAAAAAGACACAAAGATGGAAAGTCTGTGTGTGCATACATATTAGTGATGAAGTCACACATTGACAAGTTGTGGATGATGGGTGTCGACGTTTCAAGGATGTTGGCTGTTGACTTGGTTCTTCAGTCACTTCCGAAACATATAGTAAGATCATTAGAGAGTACTATGTGATGGACCACAACGTGACCCTCATTGATTTGACTTATGTGCTTATTGTTGCTGAATTAGCAATGATTTGGCGCACTGGTCGAGCAAATTAGTTTGATAAATCAAGATCCCAACCTTTTATCGGCAATAGAAACATTGAAAGTCAGAAAAAGTTTTCTACGCAAGAGAAAGGTTTAGTCTGAGATAGTCCCGTGTACCATTCTAGAGGAATCCATATGTTTCTACTGCAAAAAGAGGGGGCATTGGTTACAAAGCTGCCCTGACTACCTGAGAGATCTAAGAGATGCGAGAGTCAAGATGTATGACTCTGCTACAAGTAAAATCCACTATCTAACTCTATTACGTTTTCAATTTTAGATTCTTAATACATGATGTGATAAGATTACATTTTGTTGTATTGTAGGATCGTAGAAAATAAAGGAAGCTTAAAGGAAGAAGTAAGCGGATTCTGATCACGAAGAAATGGATTTCGATTGCATCATTCGATGATTGGATTTTTGAGCTGCTACTTAGGGTTATGATAGATTGCTTATGAATATGATATAACATAGTTTTCATTTGAATTTGCATTGTAAGGACAAGTTTTCCGCACCTTTTATAAATAAAATAATTTTTGAGTTTTGTCTTATTTTTATCTCCTTACAATCTCATTTGTGAAAATTTATGCTTGTCTGTTTCTACTATAAGCAATATTAAGTGGATGTGATTCTTAGTTATGTTATTTATGGTAGTGTCGTAATTTCTAAGTAAGGAAAGATTCTCATCGCCCAAGTTTTAATTGGACAAAAGCCTGGAATCATATGATATGAATCGTGTGATGTATGGAAATCATGGTACATAGAAAATTAAGATTAATTCCTTGTTCACAAAGTATGTGAATCAACTGAAAGAGTAGGAGATCTGATACGTAATGTTGTGCACTGGTCAAGTCCACCACAAATAATAATAAGATTATTCGTCAAGATTTACTAAAAGTATAGTAAATGTGGTTATGCTTTCAAGATTAATTGTGACTCTAAATCATTGAAAAGTTTCAATGAATGGTAGAACAAATAAGAAGAATCAATTAGGTAGAAAGATAAATGTTTCTCCAATCTAAAAAGATGGGAGAGTACATTAGTATCATGTTTTATAATCGTCTTATTGATTATGAAACCATATCACAAGTGATCCTCTAAGGACACCTTAGTGCACTAGTATGGCTAAGAAGAAGTATTGGAAATTGTTGAAATGGTTAAATCAAAAGGATAACGTCACACCCCAAACCAGAACGGCGGAAATGTTCGGGGGCGGAGGACGTCATATTCAGTATCATAACAGTTCATAGAAAGGAAAGTACACACCA